TACTTTATTTATGGGCTGATGAGTTTGATTTATAAGTTAAAATCCAGTATTATAATAATTTTTTTCCCACACTGTTGCAGGTCAGATTACTAGAGACTCCTTTATGTTGGCCCTTGAGTTTTCTACCAGCCTCCTTTATTGTGAGCACTGTCTTTCCTTTTGAAATCCCAAGATGTTTTGGCCTTATCTTGTGTTTTCCATTATACAGTGATAATGAAATTATCACTTTTCCAAAGAGCTCTGGTTGCTGGTTTTTTTATGACATGAAGAAATCCAGATATGGGAACAATATTCAGTCCTAGCTGCTCGGGTGTCATTGCAACTCTTCAGGGATCAAGTTGGGAAATGTCTGTATACTAATGCTCTGTATGCACATGCCCACATGTTTAGAAAGTCATCTTTCTACGCACCTATTAGTCACCTTCTTAGCAATCTGTGCCAAGTATCATGCATTTGTATTATGCCCTTTTTACTCCAATTCAGTGGCTTCTCTTCAAACTCCTGCTCATCATTTCTTTGCCAATTACGAGAAATCTAGCTTTACTCAATTGCAGTCTACTTACCTATTTGTTCAGTTGCATGTAAAGTGGCTTTAGAATTTCTAAATTTATCCCACGAGCAACGTTGACTGTGCAGATTGTATCAGTTCTGCACAGTTCTTTTCTATAATCTACCCTTGACTTAGGAGCTCAATTCGTTCCCGAGGGAGGTTGTAAGTAAAGTTGTCAACTGAAGGCTCAGGCTCCTCTACATAGCTTCCAGTCTCTTTCCTGTACATGGGTGGAACTCAGTGTCCCCAGAGAGATACTGGCCCAGGATTTCTCAATTATTCCCCTATAGGAAAGGGTGTTGTAAGGCTCCTTCCAGAACCTTTTATGGGTAAAATCTATATCTGAGACCATCTGAAAGCACAAGTGGCTAACACTCAGGTCTTGACTGAAGAATTTTGGTTAAAATTAAAACTAAAATTCCAGTCACCCAACCCAAGTTGCTTGGCTGCCAGGCTGGTCTTTACTTGAGGGTCCACTGTATGTAGTTTTAAAATATTTCATTATGGTTATGTATTCATAGTCAGTTACTTTCAAATGTATGGAATTTGGTACTTGAACATTTTGTCCTCCCTTTCTAGTCAAAATAATTCATTTCATGCTTCTTAGTTTTGGTATTCTCTGTCTAACCTCCCAGAAGTAGTTAACAGGTGTTGTAATGCTTCTTGGAGGTAATGAGGTTAGTTTTTCCTTGCCCATTTCTTCTGGGTGGCTCCGTTACTGATAATATAGTTAGGTTCATTGGTAAATGCGCTTTATTTTGTCTCTGTGACCCACTCTGACATGCTAGAGATGTGCTTTGTCCGTCCCTGGGAGTGACTTAAAATTTTTGAAAATTTATTTTTACGAGTAATCCTGTGCTGTATATTTCAGTCCTTATATCTTCATGCATAGTTTGGACTAAGCCCCTAGGCTAGGCCCTTAGAACTTTCTAGAGTTTGATACTCAAACAAAAAGCATCAACACATTTAAAATTGTAAGTACATGTATTGTTGAACAGTTTTGCATTTAAGTCTGAATCTGGTTTTGCTGTTGTCAGCAAAAAATAAAAGCATAATACACTATATTTTTTCAGTTCTGCCTATTACTGTTAAAAATACTTTGTTAATTTGAAAGTCACTGTATGCTCATTTTTAAAATATTTATTAAGAGGTTGACATTTTTCTTTTTTAATAATAGTAGTATAGTGTTAGTTAAGTGTTGGGCATATTTGTATAACTATGCATGAATGTATTGATTTATACAAGTTCTTGACTTATTTACATTTTTAATAGTTTTATTGAATAATTAAATTCATTGTAGTCATATATATCCACTTTTTTAGTATGACTTCTTCTAGTAAGATCATTTATGAATAAAAACATTTTTCTAAGTGCCATGATGTACTGCAATTTTCTTTCCTTACAGTCATATAAGACTCTATGCCTGCTCCAAGAAGTCTGGCCGGAAGGATCTGACGTTCGACGTGTCCTCTGTGTTGCTTCATGCTCGCTTACTCTGGAAATGTACCACCACTTCTTAGAAAGTGGAACAACGACCGCTTCTGAAGAGACAACTAACAGCACAAAGGTGCAGCTGTTATAGCTTTATTGGGGAACATCATTGCTGTCCGTGTTCGATATTTTATTCACTATCATCTAACATTTTCTCCATCTGATACTGAAATTGTTGTATAATGTCAACAAAAGAAAAACACTGAAATTTATTTTATTCTTTTCTATTTTAGTTTAGTTTTTGTAGTTCTCAATACTGAATTTAGGATCTTTCGTATGTTAAAGAAACTAGAGTTTATATTGTCCCATTTTCTTAAATATATCCACTTATTTATTGTCATTGGGCCTGCCTTTTAGGTAGATTGCCATGAAGGTGTCTCCTTGAGTAATCTGCAGTATTAGTTTTAAAATATGATGCCTTTGACATAATAATGCTTTGAATGTGTGGACCAATTCCCGAGGAGTCCTCTGGGATTGTGACTTCATTGGCTTCTTGGTCAGCTCATGTGAGGATTGACTTCCTAAAAACCTTGAGAAATATCTTATGTTAAAAAGTGTTAAACCAAATGTTTTTTTTTTTTCTATTTTATCTCAAATATATATAAATGCTTGAAATGATTGTCGCAAAAAATGAAGAAAATTTCATAGTCTCTACATGCAAAGTGTTGCTATCAGCTGTTGTGGTTCTGTACACTTACTGTGTGTTTCATAACCTGCTGTTCTATGACTCATCTTCTCTATTGTATTTAGGTTGAAAGTAATTGCTTAACCCTGAAGGATGTGGAGGATTTATGCAAACTGCATTGTCTCACTGTGACTTTTCTAGCACACGTACCTCTTTCTCAGAGAGCTCGCTCTAGATTCATTACTTCCAAGTGGATTAAGGACACTTCTATATTCTTTGAAATGGTAAACATAATCTTCATTGGTTTAGTATTTTAGTCTCATCTGTTTAACATGTGAAAACCACAGTAGCCTTCAAAACAGATTGATATGGGAACAGAGTTAGCTCTTCAAAAGGGTTTTAGAGTTTAATGACCTAAATGAATCAGTTAATTTCAAGTAAGTTTTCTAGTAATGACAATATGTATCTCTGTCTCTGTCTCTGTCTGTCTCTCTTTTAAGAAAAAAATTACTATTCTTTTTAAAAGTCTCTGTCAAGCTCAAGTTTGTAGAATGTTGGTAAACACTGTACTCTGGTTTTAAGGGAAACTGAAGAAGTGTCACATTTTATTATTGCTGTCCATTCTGGATAATAGCTAGTGTAGATTTGGAGACAGAACAATAAAAAGAAAAAGACAAAGTAAAACCTCAAGAGGCCCACTGCTCAAATCACTGTTGGCAGCTGTTAACTCTTTGGTTTATATTTTTCAGTCTGAATACCTAGATTTTTCCATTGTTCCTTAAGTTACAAACACATACATTTTTTTCATATATTTTTCTAATTTGTTTTACATTGTTAGCATCATTATTAGTGGATGCTGAGTATGTTTAATGGAAGTTGCATGGCTGACTTTCCATTTCTCTGTTATTGAATATATATTTAAAAACTTTGATTGCATTACAAATATTACTATTATTTTCAAATGTAAGTCTTTCCTTTTAATTTCAGGTTATTGGTTTCTGATTTGATATCCAAAATAGTATTAAGTGAAGCAACTGACATAGAATTTTTAGAAAAAGAATTTTGGCCCACATAATCAAAATGCTCTCAAGGAAGGCTTTTTTTAAAACAACCAGGGAGCCAATCTATGCTCCTAGCACACTGACTTGGGATAATTTGCAGGATAGAGTGAGAAAGAGGGACACATAACCATCCCAGGCTAACACTTTCATAGAGCTATATTTTGCAGAGAAGGCAGACATTAACTTTAACAATTATGAAGATAGAGGAACTATAAAATGCTTTGGAGTCTATCAATAGAAAGATTTGATTCAGTCTTCAATGGTTGTTTTCTCTCAATAAGGGAAGTGACCAAAATACCAAAGGCTGAGTAAGAGAGAGCAGCCTGGACTAAAGCTAGATTTAGGGAGAAGAATGGCACATGGGATAGTGGTGAGGAAAACATGACCAAGGAAGAGAGATTGTGCTACTCTGAGAGGAAGAAAGGAATCTGGAGGATTGGCGGAGCCAGACAGGGGACCGATCCTGCTCTGCTAGTGGATCCAGTACACGATCCTGAGCATGTTGAGAACAAACTGAATGGTTTCAAGCAGAAAAATGACACTTTAGCTTTGTACATCACCCTGGTTGACAGAGTGGTATGTTGTTAGAGAAAAAACAGTGGATGTATGGAAATTAGGGGATAATTAGAATACTGACAGGGTTAGAGACTAAGGAAATGGCCCTTAACCTTCATTCTCCATTCAAGGCCCTGGATATGCTGTGCAGGAGAATGAGTGGTGACAAGTGACTGCAGGCAGACGCCCTGAAGGAGGGGCGCTTTTTTCACTGAGATGAGGATGGCGCTTGCACAAGTGCCCCTGCCGAAGTCTGGAATGGGAGGGGTGGAGACTGATGACCTGAGGTGATCTGAGTGTGACTAAGAAATCTTACCTGGTCCTCTGGCGGAGCTCGCACAGGGTCAAGCTGTTCTGTGACTTCCGCTCCGCGCAGCTATTTCCAGCCTTCTTGCCTTTCTTATACTCCAGTCTTCACTTTTGAAGCAGCCTGAAGCTTAAAATGCAATTTCTGGTAGACCTGAAAATTTCACTATAAAGAGTGCTTTTTAGGGCTGCTAGAAAAAGCAGCAAGTCATGGAGAAGATAGCTCCGGCAGGGTTGTCTTGAACCTTGACACAGTGGCATGATGGGAAGGAAGTCAGGGAACACTGCTGCAGGGCCGTGCTTCGCACAGTGTGGTTTCCTGCCCGGCAGCATCAGCAAAATGTGGAAACGTCTTAGAATTTCAAATCCGTGAGTCTCACCCCAGACTGACTCAGTCATAACTAAGCAATCTGTGTTTCATTTGACAACCTTTCCAGATGAGGCGTATGCCGAAATTTAAGAACAACTGTTCTATGACTCTGTGACACTCTCTTTAGTGGCTCATCTATAAATAAAACTATCCCGCAGTTGGAAGGGAAGCTTCTCTGAGTTACTTGTTAGGAGCCAGCCTGTCAAATGCAGAGAACGGTAAACACAAGTGGGCGCTTGAAATATGAATTGACATGATTAAGGCGTGCCATATATTTAGAAGAAATAATTTAGTATAAAAACCATGTAGACTGGCTAAATTTAAATACCCAATCTGGTAATGTCTTTATACTTATTACATGTTGAAATAATAATAAATTATTAAAATTAATTTAATCTTTAAAAATTGCAACATCTGGCAAATTAAAAATAACAGCTAACTCATTCATACTATTAAAATTGGACAATGGCAATTTAAAGCTCCATATAAATACAGATAAAAAAGAACACTTATGTTGGGTTATTACAGGACTGTGAGGCAGAGAAGCTTCTCTTTCCTCTCAGTTTAACCTTGCAGACAGCACCATAGAGTGAACCCCTGCTCCTGTCTAATCCGCTCTGACCTAAGTGTAGGGGTGAAGACACGCTGCCTCGTTTACTAGGAACATGGTCTCACAGTCATAAACTTGTGTGTGGATACCTGTGTATCTCTGAATAATCAAAAGTTTCATCAGTATGCTGTCTTTTAAAAAATGTTTCTGAATTTTCAATATTATTGCACATTTGCAGTGCACAATGGTTGCACCATTTTAGAAAAATGGTACATACCCATAACACATCTCAATTATTTTTTCCTTCCCTTCTGCTTCCCTCCTATTTTGCCAGCATCAGAATTATTTATTTATAAGTCATTATACTGTCAATTATCATGTATACAGATTAACAACCAGACTAGTAGGCCAAATAACATAAAATACATAAGATAAACTAAATTGAGGTACGCTATAAATTGGATTATAACAAATTAGAAATCTTTATATTGAAGGAAACCATCAATAGAATAAAGAAATAATCTACAGAATGAGAAAAATTTTTGCCAGATGCTGCTCAGGCAAAAGAATATAGCTAGAATATGTAAAGAACTAAAAAAAAAAAAGAGATAGATCCTCCAAATTTAAAGACCCAAGAAAAAAGTGGACATCTGAAGTGAATACACATTCTCAGATGAAGAAACACAAATGGCCATGAAACATGTCCAGTGTTGCTGATCATTTGAGGAATGCAAACTAAAATAACACTGAGGGGGCCGGGGAGATGGCTCAATAGAATAAGCACTTCCCTGGCAAGCCAAATGCCTGAGTTCAATCCCCAGTTCTGCCAAGAAAAATAAAATAAAATTAATTAAAATTACAATAACACTGAGATTCCCTCTCACTCTAGAAAGAAGGGCTGTCATGAAATCAGTAACAAATGCTGTAGAGGACAAGTGCTGGGTAAAAAGAAACGCTTCTTCATTGTTGGTGGGGATGTAACCAGTGCAACCCTGTGGAATCAGGTTGGAGATTCCTCAGGAAACTAAAGCTAGAAATTCCCTTGGACTCAGCTATTTCTCTTTTAGATATATTCCTAGAGAGTTAGACCTCATCCCACAGTGATGTACGCATACCTGGGTTTGCAGCAGCGCTGCTCATAATAATTAAAAGGTAAAAATAGTCTATGTCCACTAACAGAAGAGTGGGTAAAGGAAAATGTATTTACACACAATAAGAGTACTATACTGCTGTCGAGGAGAATAAAGTTGAGTTATTTGTAGGGAAATGGATGCCTCTTGATACCATAATGCCAAGTGAAGTAAATTAGACACATAAGGTTAAATATAACATGGTTTCTCTTATATGAAACGCTCAATATATGAAGTGTGAAATTGAAGATATGCAATAGGAAAAAAGAGAGGAAGACAAAATATGCTCACTCAGTTGGAAAGTATAATTGAAAAACACAGAAACCTAAGTAGAGAACAGAGGCCCATCTGAAAGCGGAAGTGGTTAGCTTTCAAAGGATCTCTGTGCACCACAGTGTAAGCTAAAAAATTCATTGAGTCATGTAAAGATTTGTCTGATATGGATGAAGCATTATATGAAATTCATTTTTTTCTTCAGCTTGAGATTTTATTTTTTGTTGTAATATTGTAAGGAATAAGGTTTTATCATTATTCAGGCTAAATCATATTAATAAGAATTGAGACAATCCTGCTCATTTGCTCTTTGATTTGAATATAAAAACATATAGCCATTCTGTTTTATTGGTAATGTGAAAATTGTCAATTGTCAATAATTTAGAATTGTTTATTCTTTTAATTTTTTTAGAAGAAATGGTGTGAATATTTCATCCTATGTAATATAAATGTTTTGGAGCTTTGGAATCTGAATTTTACTCATCTTTCTGACCTGAGTGATGGACCTTTGTTGAAAAATATTACTTTTTATTATGAAACTGAATATGTAAATGGTATGACCTTATGATGTAATAATTCTACTTTAATCCAGAATAAGCACTATCACAGATTTAAAATAATTTTCCTGAATTTGTATAAAACAATTATTTTATTTCCATTGCTTGTTCATTTATAAATGTAATTTTGACTGAGTTGCAATAAAAATGAATAACATATTTCAAAATATTATTTTTTTCTTGCTTTTTTTTTTTTTTTTTTTTGCGGAACCGTGGATTGAACTCAGGCCCTTGTGCTTGCCAGGGAAGCGCTTATTCACTGAACCATCTCCCTGGCCCCTCAAAATACTATTTCTTAATAATATTCCAAAAGTACTTTTAGAAAAAAGATGTTTATGTGTTTAATATTTCTGGATAATTTTAACAGTTCAAATTTTTCTTTTTGCATGCATGCACAATGCTTCTTAGAAAAGTTTCTCTAAGTAGTACAACTATTTCACTCCTATTATTTAGGCAATTGCAATTTTTTCCAAAAGCAAAGCATATATATAATATGTTTTATATATGCTAATATGTAATATTTTATATCAATAATATATTATTTTAATATATTAATATATAATACATTAACATATATAATTTTATTTGCTTTTCCAAATTTTTTCTAAGAATATCTTCTTTGATGTTTTTTAATAGTTGAAGAAAAAAATATTTTCAGAAAAGTGTAACAGTTATTAAAATTTCTTTGACATTTAGGATGTTTCTTAATTGTTAGGCATTAGGATTAACTGGCTAGATATAAATCTGTGATTTTATGCTGATTTTCCATTTCTCAAAAGTTACTTTTTATTCAGTTCTGTTGTTCATAAGGTTATATGTGACAATATTCTTTACCTTAAAGAACAATAAAAATTCCCCATCTGTTTTTATTAATTACAATTTTAATTCCTAGTTACCAAAATAAAAAAAAAAGATTAACTATAAAGCCCACCATTTTCATTTAGGTCTATTCTGAAACTCTGAATGTTTCACTATGTAACACATATTTCAGAGCTGTATGAATTGAGTCAAAATGTGTGCTTCTGCTTGTGCAAGTAGCTCTTAATACCAAGCATTATTAATTGTTATACAGGTCTACATTTGAACTTGGGAAGTGCCATTATGGAAGACTATGAACATCTCTGGAATACTGTGTCCAAGTTGGTAAAGAAGTTCAAAGTAGGAAAGGCATTTCCTTTGAGAACAACCACACTTCAGTTCCTTACAAAGAATCCATCACCAATCAAAGGTAATAGAAACTTAATTTAAAGAAAGCATTATTCCTCTTCACAGATTTTCAAAACACAATTAACTCAATGTTTAATATGAATAATTTTCTGATGCTGTATATTTTGATAATTGTACACTTGGAATTGTATGCTATGACTGTAATTAGAAGATGGTTTCCTTAAACTACTATGCATATGTGGCATATATATGTAAAGACATAAAGTGGTATACAGTGATAATTAAGTTAGTCACAAATCAAATTGGACAAGAACCAAATCAAAATTTCTCCTAAGGTCCAGGTCAACACTGAAACTGATCATTGAATCTGAGTCCATAGTGTGAATCTTTACTCCTAGTGCTTGAGGAATTGAGGATCTCTTCAGCCCACCAAGAAGGCAGACTGCAGCCTAATGAGATTTTCTGCAAACAAAACCAAAACTACACAGCAGGGCATCTCAGGGGCCAGGGACTGAGGGAAGAGCAATCATTCTTGAATGTCACTGTTCAAGGCATTGCTGTCCTGGGAGCACTTGCTCTGGCAGGGATCCCGAGGGCTAGGGTCCAGCTGTCCCAGATGAAGAACAGGAAGGAGGTGGTGACACCCCCCCAAAACCAGGATTCTTAGAGCACACTCAGAGGCTGGGTCATGCAGGACCTGCTCTTCAGCAGGGGAAGGTGACAAATAAATTTCACTGGGCCTGGAACAATGTAAATTACTATGACAAGTAGAGATTTCCACGTAAACTATTAACAGGGTCAAGGTAACTCGTAGCCAGTAAATTAAATTAAAGAGATAAAAGAGACCTTCAAGTTCTTATAAGGAACAAGTTATAAATCCTTGTTTCCAGAGCTTTCTGTCAAATTTGAATACAAATATGAATTTATAAAAAATATGGAAAATAGTTGTAAGAAAATTATAAGCCATGGTAGTAGAACTACTACTAGTGCTAGTATAGTATTCTGGATTTTGTAGCTATAGCTATTAGATATATATTATATGAGTTTTAAAATATTTTGAAAATTAAGTGTGAATTCTGAACATGAAACAATGACCAGAGACTTTTTAAATACTTTAAATTCACATTTTATTATTTTAACTTTATTATTATTTTCTAATCTTTTATTTATTTATTTACAGGGTCTCGTTATATAGCTCAGACTTGAAGGGATCCTCTTGTCTCAGCCTCCCCAGTGCTGGGATTATAAGAGTGTGCCACCATGCCCGGTTTTGGTGGCCCACATAGCCTACCCAGGATTTGAGGGCTGTCATGACAAGTGATACCAGGAATTGAACATGGGTCCTTGTGCTTGCCAGGCAGGTGCTTAGACTGCTGAGCTATATCTCCAGCCCCTTAATTCACATTTTAAAACAATCACTTATAGAGGTAAAATAGAAAAAGTAGAAAAAGCAGGACACATCATATACAGCTACAGTTTCCCTTTGGCAAATACTATCATTATGTGTATCTCAATTGTAACAATAAAACAACAACAAAAAAGCCAAAAATGTGAACAATGTATGAGCTTTCAGAAATCTATCAAAATTGCAAAATAAAAACATATTGTCAATGAATAAGATAGAAAATTTGGATTGGATACTGGAAGGAGGAAAATTTATAAATTTGAAATAGATGGAAAGAATTACTAAGAGATAGCAAAAAATCATTATGCCTAGTTAGATAAATGAGACACGGCAAGAAAAACATTGCACGATGTCACTTTAAGATAGAATCGGGGAAAAGAATACAAGCAAAGAACATAGAATGAAACACTACTTGTGATGCGGGTGGGTGCGTTGCAGGCATGGGAAGGTGTAAGCTTAAGAGTAAGAAACTTGCAGGCATGTATAATGATAAATATAGATAGCTAATGTATATACCAGGAGTATAGTTGAAATGTTGAATGTTATATTGTGTATTATTAACTTGGAAATAGTATAGATTTTAGTTACTCAGCCCAAAAATCAAAGAAATAAAGAAAAGTGGTAACAATGTGAGGTGATGATGTAGTACTTGAAATGTTAGGTAAGACACTCAAAATCTTTCCATATAATTATAATTAATATCCAAGAGGAGACAGGCCTTCTCTACATGTAATCCAAAATATAGTAACACACGTACAGATGTGAAGTCTGGAGGATAGAAAATAGTCTAACTTTTGACTTTTTTGGAGATTCAGAAGGAGAGAATAAGCTAATACTATGACTCGGGGCTGGAGAGGCAGCTCAGCAGACTAATTTCTTGCTTAGAGAAGCGCAGGGACCAGGCTTCCATCCCAGGAACCACATGCTGAACCGGACCCATCCCCAGTGTGCTGAGCTGGCCACCGAGACCGGGCATGGTGACCCACACCTGTAATCCCAGAGTTGGGGAGGCTGAAAACAGGAGGATCACTATGAGTCTGAGCTGTGTGGTGAGACACTGTACCAAATACATTAAAAAAAAAAGATTGGACATTTACCTGCATTAATAAAAGGCAAGAATTTGTATTCCGGGTGTATTATGAATCCCAAGTGTGATAAACGAATACGTGTAGTAAAAAAATAAATGACAAATTATAGAATGGCCAAAAAATAAATAGGCTAAAGGAACTAAAGTTACCCAAAATAACAAAAATTAGCCTAAGACATTTTCCAATAACAATGACAAATTTCAGTGTATGATAGAAGTATATGTAGCTCATCTATTCATATATAATTCATACAATCATACAATTTAAAATGGAGTAATATGTAATGTATATCTTTATAAAACATATATCCTGATTTATTCATCAGGACTGAAGCACTGAAACTACTCCTAGATGATGAATTTTAGGAAGAAGAAAATGATCCAGAAAACACATGAATGTTATGGGGAACTTTCACATAGACTGTATTGGCATAAGGGTGTTTTTCAGAAACGTGGGGAAAAACACATACACTCTTTCATCAAAATGTGTTCTATCAGAAAAGATCATTGAGTTCAAGTAGTGCATTTACCCTAAGAATCCAATTAGGGGATGGGATGTTTTTTATAAGTACTGGAAGTGTGTAGGGCATACTAATAACTAAGTTTCCACTGGTGGCATCCATAGGTAAATTTCACTGAGTCTCGAATGTATAAGGCATCTTCGAGGTGTCTTACCTCAAAAGCGAGACAGCTGAGGTAGTTCTTGCCTACCTCCTGTCATGATGTTGGATGAGGATGGTCCTTAACATTTCTATCCTGGTTCATGTGGGCTGTGTGTGGAAGAGTTCAGGGAAAGGTCTCGGGCTCACAACAGGAAGGGGACCAAGACAAGTGCGTCCCAGTGAACACTCGGTTACCAGGCAGAGCAGGTGTGTAGCTTTCCTGGAGTTACGAAACACACATTGAGTAAGACTCCATTCATTAGCCTATTTCGGTATTATCTGACATTATCTATCTATCTATCTATCTATCTATCTATCTATCTATCTATCTATCTATGCATCTATCTTCTATCGATCTATCATTTATTATCTATCTATTATCTAGCTATCATCTATTTATCATCTATCTATCCATCATCTATTTATCTATATCCACTGTATACATGATTGGGTATGATTATAAAATCAAAATGGATCCAATAAAGTACTTTAATGGTAACAAATAATTTCTTTGTCACCTTTAATTCCCCCTGCTTTTTATTTCATTTTCATGAAAGTGTGTGTGTGTGCGTGTATTATCTTTTCGAATGACACTTCCATTTAAAAGTTCCTTGTTTCACAACAGGGTGTAAGAAAAGAAATAAACACTTGATTTTTTTTTTTTTTTTTTTTTTTTTTTAGTACTGGAAGATTGAACCAAGGGCTTTTCCACTGATCTACTACTAGACCTTTTGAGTTCTTATTTTTATACAGGGTCTTGGTAAATCCATGAGTTGCCCAAACTGGGCCTAAAATTGTAATTCTCCTGCCTTAGCCCCCTAGAGTACTGGGATTCCAGGTATATACCACCATACCCTGCTAAAAAAGAAATATTTAAAAATAAGGAGCAGAGAAATATATGTATCTTTTCTTCAATCTACTCACCCATCTTCCTTCTTTCTTGCCTAAGTATTATCTAATTTCTTTACATTTTATTGTGTTCCAAAATGCTTAACTATGGTAAATAGTTTCATGGGAAAGGCTAGAATTTATAAATGTAAAGAAAAACATTTTTTATGTGAAGTTTCACAAAATAATATATCAAATTCCTGTATTCAAATTTACATTTGACTTTATCTTAACATTTTGTTTACAGATAGCTCCAAGGAAAAGATGCCTCCTTTGGGTTTTATTCCAATGTCATGTCAAATGGTTGATAAATTTTCAGGAGATATTTTGAAAGATTTACCTTTTCTAAAGAGGTAGGGGACTAAAAATATACCTTAATCAGTAGTTGTATGGGAGGGATGAGTTATTTATTAAGGATGCCTTAATATATGTTTGCAATGCATAATGAATTTAAAAAATGCATGCAAGAAATTTCAATGTCTTTTGACTGTTTTGTATAAACACCTATACAATTGTAATCTTATTAAAAACTACCTCAATCACATGTTTCTAAATAATGAATCAATAGTGAATGTTTATTGATGTAGTTAGGTAAACTAAAGGTGTAGAGTAGATCATTGAGCCTATAATAAATTCTTTTTTAGGTTCTCTGATCCACATTATGTCACAGAGAGAGGAAGGGAGACCTGGATCTCAAAGTTATTAGTATTAAATAAAAACTATGCAGGGTTGTGTCAGGAGGCAAATGCACTTTAAAATGCACACACATTTTTTCACTCACAGTGATGATCCTGTTGTTACTTCCCTGGTGAAACTGAAGGAATTTGATGAACTTGTGCACTGGCATTCTCACAGGCTTCTTAGTGATGACTATGATCGGACAAGAAGCAACTTTGATGGTGAGTTCTATGACCTAAGTCTATGTCCTTTTTTTGGCTTCTATTTTGAGATAAAGATGATCACATTGTCAGCTAGAAATTAGATATTTTCGAAGAAGAATGTTATATAAGATAGCTTGGTGTACATTAGGGAAAACAGTGAGGAAAATCCCTGTTTTGTTTGCATTCAGATGTTAGTTCAGAGGCAGGAGCACTCAGATACAGCATCTGTCTTCACCAGAGCCAAGCACTGGAAATTCTTATCAGTCTGCTTATATTAACAGCTATTTAAATCCTACAAGGTTTAAGGTGATAAGGTGGGTTAACTATTCATATCTTTCTATGAGGTTCAGCTTGATATGTTGATATTCAGACAGAGAAATAAGCCACCATAGTCAGTACATTTAGGTGAATGTTGTAGATTTTTGGGGAGTGTAGGAGTAAGTCGTACCATCACTGTTAGGCCTTCCTGTGTCCCTCGATTTTTTCCAGGCTGCCAAACTCATGTTTTTCATTCAGAGTAAGACCTTTTTCTACTCAGTGATCTAAATTAGAATAGCCTAGATTATTTTCTTCTTGATTCTGCCTGTACCTTCTAAATATAATTATTGGGCATGAGAGAAGTAATACCCAGAATTTTTTTTTTTTTTTTTTTTTTTTAGCACTTCAAATTTTGCTTTTGGAAGTAGGACATGAAAAGTAATTTTGTTACCTCTGTCCTTTTAAGTAAACACAGAGGAAAGTGGTTGATGATGTAGAGTGTGCCTAAGGAGAATCACTTGAAGAGAAAACATTCTCTCAGGCTTTCACAGAGAGCGAACTGGTCAAGCAATGCCTGTGACTCATCCACATGGCTGACAATGACAAAAGATATGCAAACTGCAATACAGGGTTTCATGATAAATCCTGAGGGGATTTGACTGACCTTATCAAATACAAAAGATACATTTCTTGTTGTGTAGATCTTGCTCTTAACTATCCAGCAGAAAAAGTATGAAAGCAAGGTGTATAAAGTAAAGCCATATTAATATGTTGAGCTGTAAAAGGCTCAAGTCAACAACTTCGGACATTGCCAGTCCTACAGATAACCCACTACTATTATGGACGACTGGACTATATTGGAATATTTTGCTGAATTCATGTACCTACAATATTTAAATGACAGTGGAATGCCCTTCTCTGACAAAACTAAACAAACAATGGGGATACAAATGAAGGACCATTTTGTATCTGTATACTCAAAATAGGATAGATATACAGCTGCATTCTCCTAATTCAATGAATAGAAAGATTTGTTCTGATAGTGTTTGTGGACAGGATATTGTGTCTGCATCTTGTACAATGAATAACCACTAAGACAACAATATGCAATGTATTAATTATTGAAACTGTGCAGTAATTGGTTTTGAAACTGTCTCATTGCTCTTTGTTTCTCAATAAAATTATTTAAAAAAACAAGTCAAATATGAAATTCTGCACTCAAACGATGGTCTGAATGCAGATCCCTACTTAGCCAAAGTAGTCAGGTCAAAGTAGTGCTCCAACGTAGAAAGCAAAGTGCATGTTAGTGTGGGACAGTGTGAGGGGTTAGTAGTACTGCCACTAAAAAATGCAATCATGTTACATTTTAAATCTTTTCTTCACTGGGGAGGTAGTTCAGCATTCAGCACCTGACTGGCAAGTGCAAGGATCTGGGTTTGATCTCCAGCACTGAGTACCATGCTGGTCCAGGAACCCTGGGCACGCTGTGCATACACCTGTAATGCTAGTGAAATCCTGTACCAAATCAATATATAAATGATTTAAAAAATTTAAATTTTTTCTTTTTCAGGAATGTCTAAAGATCCTTGGGTTCAAAAACAAAAACAAATACACCAGAGGTTTCAACGCTTTTATGGAAATTCATTAGACCCAATCTCTTCAAAACTCATTGTGACCCAAGATGCAAAGCCAAAGAAGCATTTTAGTGAGGCCAAGAGCAAAAAGGCACATGTAAGGTTCTAGAAAGTCTCCCTGCTTTTAGTTAACTTTTCTGAAATTACTATTTGTTCAACACTTTGGTAATTTCTTTCCACATGCATCCTTTCTTTTGCTGACTACTTACTAACTTACTTACTTGGTAAGAATGTCTAACCTGCATGTAAAAAATTATATGTGGTCCTTCATCATAATAACATATTCATTAATTTGAAACAAATACAACACATTAAGTGACTAAAGTCTCAGATTTAGAAATATTGAAGTAATACTAAAACACAGTCAGTAAGCTGGTGAATGGCAACAAATTCCTTTTGACATTTGTAGTAAAAATTGATATGGATGCTAATCTGCTTTTTGGGGGGCTTGAAGCATATGTTTAACTTCACTTTTCCAAAAAAACTTACATAATTAATGAATCTAACTCCTCATCTCTTCATTTTCTTTTTCTTTGTGGACTGTCATTTTTCAAACCGATGGCCATTATCAAAGACGGAGTGCTAGGAATATGTAAGGAAGTTTATTTGTTTATTTATATTTAATTAAAATGTTTCATTAGTATATGTCTGCCATACATGATGCTTGTAGATCCCACAGGGAGTTTGTGGGTACACCTGACACACCTTAAATCCTTTTCATCCGTGTCTTTCCTTCCCTCCCCCCATTATTTCACCTCTTGGTCCTCTTCTCGTTTGAGAAAAAGCTAACTCCCTATTAGGATTTCTCTTACAAGAGAAACCAGGTGATATTTAAGTTTGAGTATCTGATCTATTTCAGTCAATACGATGGTCTCCACATGAGCCCATTTTCCTACATATGGCTCAGACTTACCCTTCTTTATGGCAGAATAGTATTCCATTGTGTGTAAATACCACATTGTCTTCATCTGTTCATCTGTTGGAAATATAAGCTACTTCCAAGATTTATTTATTTATTTATTTATTTATTTATTTATTTATTTTTTGGCTGAACTGGGGATTGAACTCAGGCCCTTGTGCTTGCTAGGGAAGTGCTTATTTGACTGAGCTATCTCGCCGGCCCTGCTTCCAAGATGTAGCCCCCATGAATTGTGCTGTTAAAACCTGGATACATTTGTGTCACTGTAGTGTTATGTCATTAACTCTTGGAACAATACCTATGGGTCAAATAAAATTTCTCTTTTAGATTTTTTGAAGAATCCCATATTGATTTCCACAGTGGTTGTATCCTTACCAAAAATGTAGAACGATGTCTTTCTATCTCCCTTATGAACCTCTTAAGAATTTGTTATTTTTTGATTTCTCCATTTTTTCTGGTATAAGAAAATCTCAGCATTGTTTTAATTTACATTTCTCTAATGGCCCTTGATGTTTTCATGTATTGATTGGCCATTTTTATTTCTTGGTTGGTGAAGCATTTATTAATTTCATTTGCTCTTTTTGATTCTGTCTTTTACTGGGTGGTCTTTTTATTTCTTTATTTTTTTTTTAGACAAGAGTCTAATTGTTTTCAGGCTGGCCTTGAACCCTCTACAGTAGGCAGCCCAAGCTGGACTCAAATTTATGGTGATCCTCCTGTGTCAGCCTCCTCAAGGCATGCACCACCACACCTGGCTTGATTTCTTTATATATTCTAGTGTTAATCCTCTGCCAAAGGAACAACTAGAATGAATTTTTTTCCTTTCCAAAGGTTTTTTCCTCACTCAGTTTCTTTTATTATACAGAATGTTTCAAATTTAATATGATTCTATTTGTCCATTCCTGCTGTCACATTCGTGTGAAATTGGAGTTGTGTTCAGAAAGTCTTCACATACGGGCTGGGGAGATGGCTCAGCAGAACAAGTCCTTGCCTGGCAAGTGCAAGGGCCTGAGTTCAATACGTGGTTCTGCAAAAAAAAAAAAAAAAAAGGAGAAAGTCTTCACATTCACCTATGTTTTCAAAAGTTTTACCCATTTTGTCATATATAAGGTTAAATGCTTCTGTTTTAAGATTTAGTTATCTGACCCATTTTGATTTTAATGTATTAAAGGTGAAAGAAATGGGTCTGTATTTACTATTCTGCATAATGGTAGCGAGTTTTCCCAGCATGATTTATTAAAGAAGTTGTCTTTCCTCCAATGTATGTTTTTGGCACCTTGGCAAAAATTCAAATAGTTGAATGTGCTTGGAGTTATTTCTGCATTCTCTATTCTGTCTGACAGATCCTCAGGTCTGTTTTTGTGCTGGTATCATGCTGTTTTTATCTCTCCAGCTGTAAAATAACTTCAGTTCCAAATCCATGGTACCTCTCCCTTGGCTGTTGGCTCTAGGATTGCTTTTGCTATTCTGCGTCTCTCCGAGTTCCATATAAATTTTAGGTTTGCTGCAGGTCAGTGAAAAATGCTGTTTTGCTTGGAATTGCATTAAACCTGCTTATCAGTGTTTGAAATAAAGCCATTTTGGCTACTTTGGTTTTAGCTGTACAGGAACAAGGGACAGCTTTTCATTTTCTGATGCCCTCTTTGATTTCCTTTTTTCAGAGTACTTTGATTTTCATTTTAGAGGTTTTTCTTTTCCTTAAGTTAATTCCTAAGTATTTTTCTTGATGCTGTTGTCAATTTTGCATTGCTGAATTTACATATTAGTTCTAGGAGTCTTCTGGTGGATTTGAGTATCTATGTAGACAATCGATTCATCTGCAAATAACATTAATTTGATGATTTCCTTTCCTATTTATGTCCCTTTACTTCTTTTTCTTGCCTAATTACTCTTGCCAGTATTTTGAGAACTATGTTGAAAACTCATTTATTTTAGCTGTCCTGTCCTTTAAGATTTGTGTTGAGAAACTGTAATTGTAATGGGTTTACTTCTATAAGCAATTCATCAACTTTCTGTAACTGCTTTTAAGTTTAGTTCTTTTGGCTAAGCCTTTCTGCTGAGAGGGTTTTTTATTGTGCCTGCTTGGGGTTCTATATGCCTCACTTTTTTACATGTTAAATTTCTTCCTTTATTTATTTTTAAAATATTTGTATTGAGAAACAAATAGCAATGAGACAGTTTCACAACCGATTACTAGTAAATTTTCAATAATTAATATATTGCATATTGTTGCCTTAGTGGTTATTCATTGTACAAGATGCAGACCTGATATCCTGTCCACAAAAACTATTAGTACAAATCTGTGCACTATTAGAACAAACCTCTCTATTCATTGAATTAAGAGAATGCAGCTGTATATCTATCCTAACTATTTTGAGTATACTGATACAAAATTGTCGTTCATTTATATCCCCATTGTTTGGTTAGTTTTGTCAGAGAAGGACTTTCCATTGCATTTAAATGCTGTAGGTGCATGAATTCAGCAAAATATCCAAATATAGTCCAACAGTCCACAATACTAGTAGGTTTTCCATAAGACTGTCAATGTCTGAAGTTTATTTGAAATGTTTTTTGTCATTACTTCAGTAAACAGGTTTTTTTTTTATGTCAGTTGTGTTGCCTTCCAATTTTTCACTAGTTCCAGTTAATCTTAAATTAGTCTTCTTTGTAGTACCTAAAAGTTATTGGGCTCCTTTTTCATGCCCTCTTATTTTTAAGGTGTGTTTGATTAATTGGTGTTATGGTTGATATATCTTGTCAACTTGAGAAGTCTAGAAGCTTATCAAGTAACTCTGCAGTTCTATATCCTGGGGTGAAAAGGTCATGCCCTTACTGCTGTAGGATGTTGGTCATTGTGTCAGTTTGAGAAGTTTAAAAGTTCAACTGCGTGATCCAGCAGGGGGCCCAGGTCCTTACTTTGCAAACATCCTCAGTTTGTGGAAGTGGAAGGCACAGAGGTGGTGTGGTTGTGGGCTGATAGCTGATATAAGATATAAGGGAGGGAAAGAGGATTGTTCCCTCCCTTTGTAGTCTTGCTGCTCTTGCTGTCTTGTGCTGCCTTGGACTGTGGCTGCTGTGCCAGCCACGGTGACTTGGAGCCAGCTAGTAACAGACTAAAACCTCCACCAACTTTGAGCTAAATAACACTTTCTCCCTTCATGTGTTGAGTATTTTGTGTCAGAACAAGAGAAAAATAACTATGACAATTGGTCACTACCCGTAGGCATGTCTTCTAGTTCTGACACTGCTTTTGTGTCAGTCATTTCTGCTGCCAGTATTTTTGATAGAATTTTTAATCACTTGAATTTCTATGTGGAACCTTTTTATAGCCTCTAATTTTTTCCCCATCACAATCATTCATGTTTTGCACCTTTTTTTTTTTTGTGTGTGATTGTGCTAGCTTTTTAAAAGTCTTTGTAGTGTTGGTGATTGTTTTGTTTATTTACCTCATTGTTTATATCTTCTCTCAGTTTGCCAAGAGCCTTATTAATCTATTTTGCCATTTCTTCTTTCAGCTTGTCAAATTATTTGGCTTTGTGGCTTTTGGTTTCTTGCTCTTCAATGGCCCATGCATAAGCTTTAAGCTAAGTCTTTTTGTTGCTATGTCTTTATATTTTTCTATATTTTTAGGTTTTAAAAAATTTCGCTTGGTTTTTGTACTGAGGCTTCTGAGTTGATTATAATGGGGAGCTTTGTTGCTATGTTGGAGAACTCTTTAGTTAACATCTACTTTCAGTGGTGACATCTAGGCATGACTGACTAGCTGTTGGCCTTTTTCTGTGTGCCAGGGTCTAAGCACTTCTGAACTTGGAAGGTTAGCTAGCAGTGAGTGCATTTGGCCCAATGCTCAGCTCTAGACTATGGGCCACAGAATTGCTGATGATCCCAAGACATCTCAGATAATGGAATCTCAACAAAACCAGTGAATAGCAACAACTGTGTCACTTTGGCTATACCAATAAAATCAGCAGCAGTTGTAGTGTCCAACACAAACTGGATACTGACAAACCCTAAGGACCAATAATTTACTACCCTTAATCATAGAAAAGAGACCTATAACTACAGTTTGAACACTAACACAATTCAAACATTGACACAATATTTATGTATAGTACATATCTACTATTGATCCCCTATACCTCTATTAATAATAGAGCAGTATTCAACAGTATGAACATAAAAGAACTAGTTATTTAGAGACTTATAAAGCTTAATAGTTCTACTTGAAAAGGTAAACTGTTTGTCAAACTGGAGAATAAAGAAAGTAAAATTTGAAAAATTAATCAATGGGGTATGAGAAGAAAGAGAAAAATTAAGATAAAGGTCCTTTTGAGGAATAAAATAAAATCAAACAGTTATGGGAAAAAATGAACAAGAAGAAAGAAGAGAAAAGAAAAAACCTCAAAAATACAGAAAATGAAAGATAAGAAGGCAGAGAAAAAGAAGTTGAAAGGAGAAAAGAGAAAATGAAACTAAAGAAAGTAAACGAGAAGGAAGAGAAAAAAATTGATGAGCAAAAAATAATTAAAAATGCAAAACTGAAGATTGAGTAAAAGAATAAAATTCTTTTGTTTCTGAGTAAGTTATTTATTTCTAGGACTTTCAGTCTTGGAATGTACACAGTCACAAATTTCTATACCTAGCTGTAGGGCTTATGGATTTTTGAGGTGCCTACCTACACCAGTAGCCCTTCTATCCATTGACCCAGACTGTGGTTACCATTCAAAGCAATGTGTTTCCTTGCTCATGTTGGTCGATAGGACAGTTGATCAGATCTCAGGTCTGGTATACAACAGATGTAGGATTCTTTCCTTAGGTGTTGTCTTGATAGAGAATCAGGATGGCTGTTAGTGTATACCTCTATTGTCATATGCCAATGGGAAGCAAAACGTAGAGCCACCTTGGAAATGGCAAATGGTGGTAACAATTCCACCCTAGTTTTGTTGAGATATTTATTTGAGAAATTTTGTTGAGATATTCACATAATATAAATTGCCTTAGCCACTTCCTTGTCTCTGGGCCAAAATATCTGCTATCCATAACTGTAAGGAGAAGAGGTTTGGCTCCTGGGTTCAATTCATGGTATTCCAGCTTCAGGGCAGAAAAAAGATGGCACAGAGTGATGGCAGAGGAAAAAGAGCTTAACCTGTGGTAGCCAGGGAGCAGAGAGAGAGAAAGAAGGAACTGGAGATGGGATATACACTGCTGGCTTGGGTGAGGATACGAAGTTTATACTGATCTCTGGAATAATGATATAAAAAGCTAATGTGAAAATTACCAGTTAATATTTGTGATGCTATGAGGGACTAAGTACAGACAATTGTGTTAAAACTGGATGTACTGGCTTTCTAACTTTACAGCAAGGTAACACTTTGTTGCCTTTTATAAACTTGTGTAATTGCTAAATTCAGTCTAGTTCTGTGAGATTCAGAGTTGGAGTTTAGCGAATAGCATTTATTTTCCTTAAAAGTGTCTCTTAAGATTCAAAGTTGTAATGTGTAAGAGAGATAGTACCAGCTTAATAAAACCCATTTGCAGCAGGCATTCGTCATGTCTGCCTTATGAAGCAAACATAGTGAAGTTGTGATAAATGAAACATATAATCTGACCCCAGGTTGAACAACAATGACAGAAATAAAACAAAAACAAAATATCTTTAGCCTCACTTCTGAACACTTACTTTTAGAAGTATTCTATAAAGATAAAGAAGTGCCATTTCTTAGACAGTACTCCAATTAATTAATAAGCAAAGCATACAAGCTTCAAAACTTTGAAGGACAGGCATCACTTTGAAGACTTGACAAGAACAACTTTCTCATATTATACTGAAGATAAAATCTAAAAATTACAAATGACTCTAAAATGTCTTGAGTCCTTTTATGAAGTCTGTTTTATTAATGCTTGAAAAGTAAATGAGTAGTTTTTGAAATTTCTTTTGAGTTATTCTGGAAATGTGTTATAAGTTAGGAGAATCCCTTTAAGGAGTCTTTATTTTTCTTCTAAAAAATGTATACAACTCAAAACCATTTCTTCAGGCCACATTAAGGCATCTTAATGTGCATAGTGTATCTTGACTTCAGCCAAAATAAAAATTAGGCATTTCCTGCATATACTTGCTTATCTGGATTGCCAGTAAGACAAATATGTATGTAACAACAGAAAAATAAAATAGTCATTCCTCAAAGAAGAAAAGAAAATGCAGTCAGAATCGTGGACTACTTCAACTCTTACATTTATAACAACAGTTTCACTAAATCATACATGTAATTATTTTTTGTTTCTCACAGATAACAACCTTTTTATTTCTATAGCAGGTCTGTTGTGTATGTGATCACCAAGTATGTTTATCAGTATCAGAAATATTGTCTTTATCCTTATCTTCCTCTTCCTTGTCCTGCTTTTTTTTCTGAGAAATGTTACAAAATAGTAAATTGTCAAAAAAGTTATAGATGAAGATATGAAGGTTGAGAAATATTTCACACTTTTAATTCTTACTGTTATTAGAAATCAGTTATTCTAAAGAAGTTAAACACCATTGACATTTTTTTGATGTAATGTAATGACATTTTTTCTACTAATAGTTCAATAAATCTATATCTTAGAGATAAAGTGAACATTGTAAATTAAAGGATTAAGATCTACCCTTGTCTTATTGAAACAGATCTATGATGAATGGATTTAATTCAGAACACTTGGACTATAAAACCATATAAAAACTCAGATATTACTGATACAATATATGCTTAGACAGAATGACAGTTAAATTTGCTTCACGTTAGTAAAATGTTTACATGTCAATTCTGTTAATAACAAGCATACTGCAAAGTCTGTCAAAATTTTCTTGCTAGTTCTTTAAGCTTGTTTTTATATAATAATGTCAGGTTGGTAAAACCATAGTAAAATTGTTATAAAATTGATAATATAAGTCAATTGGAAACATTATAACCTTTCTCTTTCCTCATTTACTTATGAATGCTTTTAGTTGGACATAAATAGCGTGATGTGGTTCGATCCCAAGGACCTCAGTATAGAAAAGAGCACAAGTAAAATTACAAGTATACCTCATGCTGACTAGCACTTTGGTAGATGACCAGGTAGAAGAGGAACAGATGACCACCGGGCCAGAGAGTGGGGATGTCATCATGGAAGTACCTTAACAAAATAGGAAATAGGAAAGTGTGTTGGGAGGAGTGGAGGGAGGTGATTCTAGAGAGAGTAACATGTGCTACTGCAATAAAGAACAGTGAGTATACTTTTTTTTTTTTAAATCTTCTTTCTTTTTTTCTGGAAGTTGAAAACATTATCTACAGAGTCTTTAGAGTCACTAAAAATTGTATAGTACTTGGGATGGATATCAGGTTCTGTACAAGAAGCTACATCTCTAGCCTTTTTTGAATAAAAAAAAATTCTTTTAAGTTTTGAGACAGAGTCTTGTTAATTTACTAAATTGGGATGTTGGGTTGGAAATGTGCAGTCTTCCATGCCTCGCCCTCCCAGAGTGCTGTGGTTATAGGCATAAGCCACCACTTTGAGCTGAACTGTCACAACTTTTTAATTTATAGAAGATTCATTATGAGAAAAAGCCATTTTATGTCCAATGCATATGAAAGGATAAGATGTCAGTCAAAATCACAAATATCCATTGAAAATATTGTTTCATATGATGCCATCTTGAAATATTTTGCACAGGAGACCAAAGCGGAAATAATTGCTAGAGAGAATAAGAAGAGGCTCTGGGCCAAGGAGGAAACAAAAGAAGAGCAAAAATGGAATACTCTATCATTATCTCTTGAGGAAGAAATGAGAAAGAATGTAAGCTCTGGAGCAAAGAAGCTGGAAGACTTTTTGAAATCGTGTAAAAGTAACTCAGTGAAAGTGCGAGCCGAAATGTTTGGCTTAACTGCCTGCTGGAACGCATGGAAACAACACTGTCAAAATGAAGGTACGGGACTGTGCTTTCTTATTTTGGTGAACTGGACAGCCATAAAAATGTCATGATGACAGTGTCATTTGTTAACTGGAGATCGTGTTAGAAGACTTATGTGCATTATTGGAGTTTATTAAGCATTATTATCTCCATTGTGTCAATGAACAATTATACCTTAGGATTTTAGTACTAAATACAGAGCACAGTCATGAATACAACCAAAGATAGGCTTTAAAATAGTTATATATCAAGTAGTGGCCCGATTAAGAGAACTGACAAAGATGGTGAGGTACCTCGGGAGAATCTAGCATTCTCGTTTGTGTTTGAAAACATAAGTATTTTCTTCCCGGGGAAATTGATATTCATGTTTGTCTACTATGCTGGGTTCTCCCAAAGTGGTTGTGGATGGAACTTTGGGTCTACTCTGGCTCTCCTCAAATCTACTATACAATTTCTCCAGCAGATAGTAGAAGTGCAAGAGAGAAAGAGAAAGAGTGAAATAGGAAGTGCTAGAGAAACATATGCAAATTAATTAATACCTGGTGAAATGACTGTGTTCGACCTCCAAGATGATAGTTCATTGGAGGAAACCTGGTTGATGGTCAGTCTGAGAGCTCCACTTTGTAACACATGACTCCCATATGCTCATTACCATCCAATCTGCCCCCCCCCAATTTTATTCCTTTTACCTGCAATGTATATTCTAGCAAAGTCCGTGTCTCACTGTGTATCTTATCCTAATGAGAGGCATAATACTTAAGAGCATATGCTGTTCTTGCTAATCAAGATGATCAATCAAGTTTGCAGTTGGATGCTACTAAAAGGAACCAATAGTGGCTTAAAATATATAGTACTTTATTCATTTCAATGAAGCAAAGCTCACAAGTGTCTATCTAAGAGCCTGCTGGGCAGTTGGATGTCACCAGTGACCCAGGCTTTTCTGTCTTAGTTGCATTATCCTTGGCATGTGTTCCTTTCTTCAGATTCTTTCACATTCCCTGGTAATTGTATTTTAGGAAATAGAGGAAAACAACAAGGAAAATTATTCTTTGTGAATATTAGAGCCCCATCTCTGCCTTTTAAGGAGTTTTCCTGATATCAGCAACTTTCTGTTAGATATTATGAGCCAGAACTTGGTTACAAGCCCACATCTCGGCACAAGGGCTGCTAGTAAATGTAGGCTTTTACCTAACACATTGAAGTTCTTCATAATAAAAGAAACCATAAGGACTAATAGTGAACAGAGAACTGCACAGGACTTTTGTCCACAGAGGCCTACACCTTTGTTTTCTTTTTTTTTTTTTAATTTTAATGAGAAATAGCAACCAGACAGTTTCAGAACAGGTTAATAGGACAGTTACAATATTAATACATTGCATATTGTTGTCTTCATAGTAGTTATTCAAAGTACAAAACGCAGATATGATATCTTGTCTAAACATTATTTATACAAATCTTTCTTCTCATTGAATTAAGAAAAAGTTGCAGAATATCTATCCTATTTTGTATATACAGATATTTATTTTTTCACTACAAAATGTCCTTCATTTATATCCTCCTTTTTTGTTTCGTTTTGTCAGAAATGAGTGACTGATTGGTATTCAAATATTGTAGGTATTTGAATTCAACAAAATAACCCAATATAGTCTAATAGTCCATAACAGAAGTGGGTTATCAGTAGAACTAGCAATGTCAGAAGTTGTTGACTTAAGCCTTTTATAGCTCAGCATATTAATATGGCTTTACTTTTTATACTTCGTGGTTATACTTTTATGCTGGATGGCTAAGACCAAGTTAAAGCAAGACCTATATAACTAAAACTGTAACTTTTGAATCTGAAAGTCAATCATATCTACTCAAGATTTACCCTGAAACTATGTAGAGCAGCTTGTAGGTCTCAACCATCTGGATGAATCATAGCAATTGCTTGACCAGTTTGCTCTCTGTGAAAGCCTGAGAAAATATTTTCTCTCTAGGTGACTCTCCTTAGGCACACTGTACATCATCGATCATTTTCCTATGTGGCTCAATAGTCTCCTTGAACAGAAAATTTGTGAAACCACTGAGTTACAGGATGTCAGAATACAGGTACTCTTATGTCCTGAGTCCTCACTAACCTTGAAGGGCTAGGGCAAAAAGATTGGATACACTTGTAGCCCTTCTTTTTCTCTAATTTTTTTTCAAAGTTTTATTGATAAAAAGATAGCAATGAGACAGTTTCAAATCAAATTGGAAGTACAGTTTCAACAAATAATACACTGCATATATTCTTCTTAGTGGTTAATTGCTGTACAAGATGCGGACTTGTGATCCTCTTTACAAACACCATTAGAACAAATCATTCTATTCATTAAGAGAATGCAACTATATATCTGTCCTAACCACTTTTAATACACAGATACAAAATGGACATTCATCGGTATACCCCATTCCTTTGTTTTCAGTGTGGTTAAATTCTATCTATTCCCCAAATGCACTTCATGAAATATCTTTCTCTATAGCCTTTCCTTGAAAGAGCTCACTTAATATCCATAGTTTCTATCGCATACTGTGGAACAGTCAGTTTATTATAGCTTGTCTTTCTAATTGGATGTGAAGCTCTGGAGGATAAGAACTTTGTATGAAATTTCTTGGGCAGGCTCTTACAACATTTGTTAGGTGTTTGGTAACAGTTGTTGGATAGATACTAATAAATTTATTGGAAGAAAGGTGGACTCTCAGGAACGCTGACATGGTAAATGTGAAATGATGAACAGAAGGGAACAGTATAAAGGAGATATATGACTCTGAAGGAATGAAGGGAGATTGTGCAAGTCTGCATTTGGCAGGTGAAATAGATGCGTTGAATCGAAGGGCTCCAGTGATTACACGAAATGCATCTATGTGTCAAAATCAGGGCTCAGTAAATATTGTTAAATTTTAAACCAGACATTTAAAGTTATAGAAATATTTTCCTTTTATCACAGTTAAGGCCAGCAAAGCTTGGCAGACCAAATGCCTGTCTAGGCAAGCACAGGGACTGTGGTTCGATCTCTAGCACCAACATACTGCGCTGGCCCCACCCCCCGGTGCTGGCCTCACCCCCCAGGCACTCTGAACTGGCCACCGAGACTGTAAGTGGAGGTGCACACCTGTAATCCCAGTGCTGGGGAGGCTGAAGACAGGAGTCTCGCTATGAGTCTGACCTCCATAGTGAAACCCTCTACCAAACAATAATAATAATAATAATAATAATGAAAAACCACAGTAGAAAATAAATTAAAACAATAGGCAGAGATATGATTTATTATTCTCCATAAACTTCCAAAATCTCCAGCTTTAACAATCTCATGTCTATCATGAATTATAATATTTTTCTTTATGCTAGCATTAGCATAGCTATTTTCAAAAATTTGTGGGAATGATGAAGTACAGATCATGAAACTTTAATTTTATTTAGTCTTTTCTACTTCAAAACTTCAGTTAATGTCAAGTAAGGTAGTGAGTTGAATTAAGATTAATAGGCCAGGAGATTAATCTTTTTTTTTGTATTTAAACGTTTATTAGAAAATTTTTTTAAACAGTAAGAAACTGCTACTCACCAGAGGCACTTTTTTTT